AACATAATGATCTAAAGTAGGTAGGTATACATTATTAATTATTATTCAACTTTTTGTTTTGGTCGAGAAGTGAATCAGCAGATAAGGGAAGGGTACCTACCTATACATACCTAACCAAAATTAGGGAGATAAAAGAGTGTAACTAACTTCAAGACTTTATGAGGTAGTTTGTTTCTATAGAAACCACATAACTATGTGCGCATAAACAATATACAAAGTAAAATTGTGCTGTAAATAAAATGTCTGAACCCAAAAGAGCACCAGTGGATTTCTTCATAAAAGTAATAAGTTATAGTAATTCCATTGTTTATAAATACTAGTATTTATAATCAATGGTAATACTAATCTTAATTAAGACAGTCTCAAATTAATAAAAAATACTAGTAGAAAATTATATTTTAATAATATTACAGATGCATAGTGCATTGGTGGCTAAAAACTATAGTACTGCGTTGGATTTCTGCAACACAAGTAAGATACTAAACTGCATTAATGCACATATTTGGATGTTGTTTTACATTATTTATTTATAGTTTTGAGCTTTGAACAGACAAATGAGACAATGATGACGTTTCACGAACTACTTACAAAAAAAATTAACATGAGTGAGTACACTGCATTATGTTTGTTGAAAATATTGATACCATGCAACAGTAAATTGCCATCCAACACACACAGAATTAAATCCAATCGCCCAAAAACACTGAATAAGATATAAAATACATAGTTGGAATTGAGGGACAAATGTGCAAAGTGCTATCATAATTTATTATAAAAATAATATTTATTATTTATTTTTGCTGACACAAAGCTATATTTAATTGTTAAGAAAGTTTTTAACAGTTAATAACTAACTTTCTTAAAATTCTGTTCATCAAAATAAAGTTTGTGTGTAAACGCTCATTTGTCCTTTTCAGTAATTTTTACAAGAATAAAGATAAATGTTGATACTAAGATTTTAACCATATTATGATCAAAATGCAATTGGTATTTTTACATAGACCTATAAACTAATGGACAGCACATAGAGAGAGAAGTCAGGGGTACGATATAGTGAGTGAGAAAAGAAACAAAGTAGTAAAATTTATATGGTTCCTTATGTGGGCTCCTTCACTACTTTATATTTTTTCTCTCCAAGTTATATGGTTATATGATCGCATAGCATTGAGGTGGTATGCGCTGTTCATTAGTATATATGTCTATGGTTTTTTTTTTACCATACTATATATGCATATGTGCTCAGGCAATGAAATGATAGACAATGCAATTCACTGTTGTAAGTTGTAACCTCTCTCAGATACTAAATTTGAATATTTTATTGTAATTTTTAGTGGATGAGGAATCAGATAGTACAGATTCTAGCTGCAGTAAGTCTAGTTTGCCAGAAAGTGACAATGATCTGATTTGAAAAAATAACAAATTAGGTATTTAAATCTAATTATATTACACACACAATTAATTTATTTACAATTCGATTAAACAAATAAATCTGTAAATATTTTTCCATTTCAACTATTTAAAACTTATAACTAATTTATGAAATAAATATACTAATTATTTTAGGCTTTAATGAAATATGACATTACATTTGTATACAAATATTGTTTTGGACAAATTAAGGAATATAATTATCCAAATTTGTATGTCTTTTTAAATGCTACAAGGACGTTAGTGAGTCATTAAAAAGGAAAAACTCACAAAAATTTTATAAAATAAAAATTATTTGATTAAAAACATTTTTTAGCCATCTTTCACAAATTTGTGTATAGATTTTTAATTTAATTGGCAACAAATCATCCATTAAAACAAACCTTCAAAATATCCACACCCTGTACGTAAAAAAATAGACAAAATTATTATAAGCTTTACATTATATTAAACACATAAACATAAATGCACGTACACACACTCACTGGTACACCACTATATAAACATATCGGTATTACACGTCATATAAATGTAATAGTTGTAATAAAATAAAGTCTGCATTATTTGAAAAATAAAAAAATTAAACACTCTTTAACAATGTTTAAAATATAAATGTAAATACTTTACAATTTTGTCTGTGTTTCTATGTACATTATTTATGTAGTTTCATGTAAAAAAATTATGTGCAGATTTATTTTTGAATGTAAACAACTATTGTGTATGAAGCAGCAGTCTTGGAGTTTGCTTGTAATTGTACTAACTTATATAAAATATTTTGTAAGGAACAAAAAAAAAAAATTATAATAATTTAAATTATAAAATACAAATAAAAAAGGAGAGAGATTTATTTATAATAAAGGAACTATTTTATACAATATTAGTACCTAGATGTAGTTTATTAAACAATTATACATAGCCAAATAAAAACAACAATGACAGATAAAATCTAAAATTGTTACACTACTTTCATTTTAAGTAATTTGAATAATGTAATTTCAAATATAAACAAGCTAATTAAATATGAATTTACAATATTTCATATACAGGGCCGATCCAATTTTCTAATATGATACGTTTTTATTCGTGTGAGTATCCACTTACAAGAACAATTCAATTTCATCCAGTATTATTTATATTTATTTTATTTAAACTGTTGGGCTGTTAGGAAGTTTTATCAATTTTGGGGCTAAATAAACATTAGGAATCAGGCTACAAACAAATAAAAAATTGTAAGCCACTTGAAACTTAACTTTATTTGTTCCGAAAATAATTAACATTAATTTTATTAGAAATATTTAAGTTAATTGATAGGTACCTATATTATAATGTTTACTATCAAGATCAATAAGTTCAAAGTATCTATCAATTATCATAAATAATAGCTTTATATATGATATCTGTAAAATATTGTTATAACTTAGAAGTGTATGCATATTACACTTATCATTTACAATACTTCAGTACATAACTCATAATTACAAAAGGTAATTAAAAAAATGAATTAAAATGTAAAAATGTATTTTAATAAACCTTAAAATAAAGTAAAATAAAAATATATATATATTTTTTTGAATTCTGAGCCTTTCTGTGGGTGACCCCCTGGGCAATTTCACCCATAGCTTCTGCTGGCCGGCCCTGTTTATACAATATCTACACATTATACAATAATATCTTAGCTATAATATATTTCAATACCTGTGTCATTAACTTCGTTTTAGGCTTATATAGACATTTTAAAACCTTAAACATAATTATTATATTAATATATTTTTTTAAATAAAATACAGCACATTTACAGATTAAATTAAATTAAGATTAAATATAACATGGCAACAATAATGAAACGAGTCCAAGGGAGGGAAAATGAAAATTATGTGAAATAGTTACTTAGCTACAATTTACAAGTTTAAATAATGTATAATTCAGAACATGAGGAATCAGTAGGTATTCTTATTATTACAATTTTATTGTAATTTAAAATTTGTTTTGTCATGTGTTCACTAGCCTGTTGGTATTTAAAAAAAAAATACAATTTGAGAATTATTTAACTTATCAAATTTTAAAATATTTAAAATATTCAGTAATTTGTTATAGAAAACCAACATTGAGTTTATGCTAAAAATAATTACCCCCTCCCCACATCACACAAAAATAAGGGGTGCTCGATAAAATAGATTTTTCTTTATTCTGTTAATTAATATAATATTTTATTATTTTAACATGTCATATAAATTGCAACTAATTTAGGTAGTTCAAATAAAAAATATTGTACAATTTGTTTATGAAACTAATATTGGCATAGGTAACAATATATTATTAGGTTTATTTTAACTATACAGAAGCCATTACAGGTATTTTACATTTTATTATTTATGTTAATTACTCGAGGCACCCTTTATACATTAACAATAATTGTTATAACTTATAAAAATAAAACTAAGCGTTATGCTAATATAGTTACTCGTAGTAATTAAAAATTAAACTTGCAAAAACTATGGGATAAATAATAAAGTAAATTAGGACGTGAAAGTATTGTTGTTAAGTAATTATTTTTAGCTTAAACATTTAGATTTGTTACAGTTAACAAATATTCCTATTAACTTGTTTAATAGATACAATTAAAAACTTATTTTTGACTAATATTATATACAATATACATATTACACTCAGTAAAAACCACCTTAAAATTATTGGCACATTTTTTTTTATATATATATATATATATATATATATATAAGGGTGGATAACTTGAGGTAGAAGAATATAATAATTATTAACTATAATGGTATTAATACAAGATACACATACAAATAGAGAAAATCAATTTTAGTAAAATATTTTGTATACGCCATACATACATCATGTGTGACACAAATAAGAAAATTCATGAGAAAAATATTGACAACAACTAAAAAAGTAAAGTTATTTTATATGTTGTCTTTAGACAGATTAACAACAGTACGACAAATATATCAAATAACTGATAATTAAATTGTATTAGTCAAAATGTATTTAATAATATTGTTTAAATCATTTAAACTAAATTCCAACAAAATTGATTTTTTTTCCAATATGTAGAATACAATTATCCCAGATCCTCCTTTAGTATGATCTCTGGATTGTTTAAGACAATTAATGAAAAAAAACTGATATATACCTAAATATATTTAAGTAGTAAGTGATTGTTCTTTTGGAGAATCTCTCCGTATTTTGTTTTGTATATGATTATACATTACCATAACTTAAACAAGGGTTTTTTTTCTATAATTATAAAAACTATTGTTTATGTAAGGGTCACATGAATAATAATACGCCAGACATTGTCACCGGACATGGAAAAAATACACTAGAATATTGATTAGGTTAAAAATAAAACATTATTATGATGAGGGAACTGGTGGGTGGTCTGGAGGTATTCACTTACTACTTCTGTGCATCAACAATCAAATTACTTATTAAGGAGTTTACAAAGTTACTTAGATAGTTAACTTACATAAAAGGAAACACCAATGTCTTCTTCTGCAGAAGTTAGGTTGCTGATGTATATTATGCTATTATACGAGTAAAATATTTTAAGGTGCTAACGATGTTACAGCTGTTCCATTATATTGACGACATTGCCATGTAATGCGTTCCATTACACATGATGCCGACAGCCTAGCTTCGGCATCATGATCCCAACACTCTTCCATTGTATCACACAGAGCTATTAAACCCTAAAAATAATTTTAACAGTGTCATATATTAATAGATACGATATTTTTAAATAATTTTTTAATAATTTCTTACTGGATGTGATTTCCAGCTATCTTTAAAAGCAGGTCTTAGTTTTTTATGTACTACACATTCTTGCATGTCTTCCAAAGATGGATGTTGTCCAACTTCTTCTTCAAAAGGTAACCTATAATCTGGTATAGCACCTTGTTGAGCTGTACATCTGGTTGCTAATTCCCATAGTACCAATCCACATGCATACATGTCTATTCTTAAAAACGCATCCCTGGAAAAATTTATCGCTCCTTCTAGTACTTCTGGTGCCATGTATCTTCTTGTGCCAACCTAAATAATTAATAAAAATTAATTTTATCCTTTATTGTTGGAGGTAATAATGGGTATTTACCTGCCCATGTGTATCACCACACGACTTGCCAGGCTGAAAAACCAAAGCGAGACCAAAATCAGCGATACACGCAGTTAAATCATGTTTTAGTAAAACATTGTTGCTCTTAAAATCTCTATGAGCAATGGCTGGCTTATACTGATCTGCACGTTCTGATGGAATCTCTTCATGCAAATGCATCAAACCCCTGAAACAAAATAGTGATTAAAAAACATGGAGATGTTAAACAAACTGTATAATATTTTACCTAGCCATAGACTGGGCAATATGACAAAGCTGATCCCAAGTTAGTATATTATTTTTTAAGTAGTCGCATAATGATCCATAGTCATGATAAGCGGTGATCAACCAATATTCATTTTTGGCACCTTCAATAACACTAGCATGTTTTTCAGCTCCAATGAAAGATAGCATATTATCGTGTTGCATGTGTGGTAATTGATAAATGTCTTGTTCAACCAACCATGAATTTTTATCCTTAAATTAAAATAATAATATACACTAGTAAAAACAAAAACTAATAATAATATTAAAATTGTTACTTGAGGAGGGAATATTTTAACAGCTACTGTATCTTTCTTGTGAAGAGCTTTCCAAACAGCACCATAGCGACCCCTTGCCTTCACTTCAACGAGTTGTATTGGACGATTGCTAAGTATTGGAGAACAATTTCCTAAGTGGGAGCTATCAGACGACGGAACCTAAATACACAGGAAATAATTTGTTTTAAAAATTAAATAAAATTAAAGCAAACAGTTTATGTGATGTACATCATTAGCTTAACTTACCCACTAAAGATTTAAATTCCAAAGTAAGTAATGTTAAAAAAACAAACCAATTGTAAATTACAATATATTTTTTTAATTATGTATGAATTGTAGATTAGGAATGACTATACAAAAGGTATTGAATAATTAATACAATGATGACACTAAAGAATTTTTTTTCAAGTTTTTAATATTAATTTAAAGCATATTAAATCTTAATTCCTTTAAGTAGATCATAGATTTATAAAAATAATAATAATTTTAATTGAATTGAGTTATAGAGTATGCAATAATTTAAATTAAGGAGATACTGAAATCCAAGAAAAAAATTGACAAAGTTTTCTGGATTTTGAAATTTATTTAAATACAGAAATATGCTTAAAATAGAAAGTTATGTGCAAACTTGTTATTCATACACATTGCAGACCTAACTATAATTCTTAAAAATATGTGGGTTAATTTGTATTTGTATTCTAATCTTAAATACAATACAAATATTAATATCTTTACCACAAAATAATAATTATTTTACAGCCACAACATTAAATTAATGAAAAAGGATAGAGGATATTAGTGCAATATTTTTTAACCTTCGAATATGATCAAATTTAATAGTACAGTAGAAGCTCAATTAACCGTCACTCTCTGTTATTCATCATCGTCCAAAAAAACGACATATGCAAAGCAGGTCTTACTTAAAATAAATAAAATTTGGAACTTTGCCGCTCAAAAATCTTAAGTCTCGAAGAAATAAAAGAGGATGACAAATTATTATGTAAAATATGTATTTTTTTTGTTTGCACACACATTGTAGAATATATAGGTAAGTTTATGGATGATTTTCTGTTAACTGTCATAGTCTCGGTACCGACAGTGACAGTTAATCGAGTGTAAAGGATGTTTATGGCATCATTTGTAAATTTGTTTTCTATTAGTTTTATTTTGGTCACCGTTAGGTTTTAATCTCTTTTTAGTCATCAGCTTCATTCAAAGTATATTACTGAATATGCGTGTGAAATTAGTATCTCAAATTTACTATTTTTAGGCCCATAAGCGTGCGCGGAGTTTCTGGTAGGGTAGTCATACATAAGTACATAACACATTAACACACACACATAATATTACGTATATATATTCAAATTCACACCCAGTGGCGTATTTTGAAATTTTTTCTGGGGGGGGTCTAAATATTAGGTACCTACAAGTTTATAATATAAAAAAAACACATACGAGTTACGATGTAATAATTATATTATATTATATTTTTTTCTGGGGGGGGTCCAGACCCGGGGACCCCCCCCGTAAATACGCCACTGTTCACACCTAAGTTATAAAAACTAATTTGGATGGGATAACCCCATTTAACTACATTTACCATACTAAAAAAGTATTTTATGATTGACTATTAATTATAATAATATTGAATATTGAGGGGGTAGTTTTCAGAGTAGTCAAGTGCCTACCTTGACTACCCCGAGCACACTCTTATGTTTAAGCCATAATAAAACGTAATTTTGACTAGCACAGGGGTGTGATACAACATTTCAATATGCAGTGAACGTGATAATAATTAAAATTACAATTATTAGAGCTGTTGTATTAAACATATTTAATAAGAAATAAATTATTAAATTATAAGAGTATAATAATTAAAATAGTATATAGTGTGGCAGGGGCAGGAAGTGAGCTATTTCAGTCGCCTGCGAGGCTTGCATTTCAAACAAGGCTGAAATTGCCATCCTGCACGAGATACACATACTATTTTTTCGTCACGTCTATGAGTTAATCGATCAGTGGCTGGTTATGCAGGGAATACAACTAACACTTTTGGGAATTTCCAATTTAACATCCAGCACTTTTGGGAATTCCCGCTTTACCACCCGCTGGATGGAAAAAGGTAGCTTTCCAACGCTTCAACCAAAAACTAAACTTTTGGTGTGGGCTTGACAAAAAGTATTTTATCTAACAAAAAGTAATTACTACCAAAGAAAAAGAAGAATTTAATGTACTTACATGAGAAAATTGAGGTATTTTTCTTCGTTTGTAAACCCAATAGACAAATAGAAACATACTTGCAACAGCTACCATAGGTATGGTAGAAAACACTATAGTATGTATTAATTCATTTTCATCACGTAAAGGTTTTGCAGCTAAGATAGAAAAATGTATTTATTATTAAATTTGTTGTATAAATTATACTATATGTGTATTATTTACATGTAGTCTCTATTCGAGGAGTTGTAGGTATAGGATCCCACATAATTTCCGAATTACAAAAATCACCTTCGCAACAACAAAACATTAAGCCATTAGGTTTCATTTCTTCTTTTTTGTATTTGCATTGTTTTTGACCTTGGCATTCAACATTGTTTAAAAAACAACCCTATAAATAGTTATTAAAATAAAAATATGCTCAAATTAAACACAATTATATAAAAATTAGGTTAGATTACCTTAAGCTTAATTTCTAGTTTATTCGTCATGGTATCATTCGTCCAAACAGCATAACAATATGATGGTTTATCATTTTCTCCAGATTTACAGTTTTGAATAGCACTAATACAATCTTTTTCATATTTAGTATTGTCACAAGAAGATTGGTTGTAATAGTGGCATTTGGTTTCTTCGTATTTTTTGCGGCTAGCACAACTGCAAGTTGTTAGAAGCAATACAATACTACACCACATCCATATCCATAATTGTTGTTCCATTTTTTTCTACAATTTCTTTTTTTTACAGTTTATATTTATTTAAAAATTGTAATCTCCATAATCTGAAAACATATAATTAAAAAATTAAGTACACTGAAGGAACAATTTTTAATTTAAAAGAAACATAAATTTGAACAATATTAATATTTAACTTGCTACATGGACTTAATATTTGTAGTAGTCTCGCTTATCAGGTCATCCAAGATGAAATACAAAAAAAAAAAAACACCTTTTCACAACTCGTAAACAAACTAAGTAGATAGCTAAGTTATTTTTTAAGGAAAAATAGTTTTACCCGGGGTTTTACTTATCCAAAACTTTTATTTTAAAACTGATTTTGTTTAATCTGGATGGAATTCTGCCCCTTCAAATCTGAATTAATAAGAAAATTATAGCTGTAAGATAATAAACTATTTTTTATATACTTATATATATATTATATTTTAATATATCAAATTTGTACTCTCAATTCTCATATGAAAATTGAAGATTGAAAAATGCATAAAAGTATAGCATATGGAATGTGTATATATAATTATCAGAGCATAGAATTTAATGTATTAAAAATAATTAAATATTAATCCTTTTATTTCCTAGAAATTGTTTCAATATAAAAAAATATAGGTATTCATTCAAAATGATATTAGGTACCTATATTGTAATTAAACTAAATGGGTTGAATCCAAATTACAAAGTACTTAAAATGAATACAATTACATTCATATGAGAAAGAATTAAAAAAAAAAAGTGAATGAGGGATCATTTACTAATCCTAATTATAACCTAATATAAGTTGGTGTGTCCTCTCTCTCAACAGAGTATAAGATGACCAGTGCCATAACTACAATAATTTGGGACCCGTGTGTAATTAAATTAAGGTGGAGCCCCTCTAGAAAATAGAAAAATTATAATATTATCTGTTCAAATGTTCTATTTACTTATGTTACCAAATTATTTTTGTTTAATAAACTGTAACTAAAAATTTTCTAAGAAATGCTAAAAATTTATCAATTATAAAATTAAGTTTTTCAAGTTTTTACTCATACAAAATAATATTAACATAATAAAAATTCATACCTATGTGTTTACCAAATAAATAAATGTAATAGGTAATTTGTAATTTTTTAAAAAATTTTAAATATAAATAATTATCAAATAAAAATGTACACACTACATTAAGTCAACTATAGAAACTTGGAAAAAAAATAGAACAGTAATAAGCTAAAAATTCATTTTTCTTGCCTTATTGTTGACAAACTTTTATCAGCTTATCCCCTGTTGCTTAAAATATAATCATTCCAATTACTCAATTTGTTCTTTTTAAAATGTAAAATTCTTTATCAGTTAACATTCTTCATTAGTTTAATAAAGTAATGACTTTTAGGTAAAGATTAAGTAATATGAAATTAATTGAATCATTTATAAACTACGATAATCCAGTTTCACTTAATTGATAATGGTTATTATTATTATTATTTTTGCGTGCTCTTTTGTATTTAAATAGACCTTAGTCATATTTTGTTTTTGTCGTTTTAGAACAAGAATACATTTCTTATATGAATTATTACTTTGCAAATAGATTTATAGAAATAAAGATAACCTAGTAAATAAAGCTTAAAGTACTAAGACTGAAGATAAATACTAATTTGCTATTTAAATTGTTTTTGATGTACCTATTGTTGAAAACAATAAACAATGAGTCGCGATAATTAATGTACTTTGCAACTGTACAATATATCAATTTGTTTACATACAATGGTAAAAATGTCACTTTCTGTTATAAACTTAATACATTTACAGTCTTATGAAATAGTTATTGATTGACTGTAATTAACTAAACAATATTTTTAGGTTAAATCAACAACTTTACTATAACCAAAATATTTAACTATTGAATTTGATATTTTGGGGAGTACTGGATGTAGGATTGTTGTTTAAAGAATTTAGTTACACGTTGCGTAAAAACACTAAAATTGATCAAATGAATTTCATGTTAAAACATATTTGATTTATGAAAGACTTCTGATGCACTATGTAAATTTAAGTTCCATTTAAAGCATTGATAAGATAAAACTGTAGTACCTACCTAATCCTAATATGTAAGTTATACCCACATGAAGCATCTACCTACATGAAGTATGAACTTTAAATCATACAATATCATTGTTATTTTGTCGATAGATATTAACGGAAAATACACAGGTTTCAAGGAAGAATGTATTTCGATAATATTATAATAAAATATATTTGATTGTTACATTCCAACGAATGAACTTAAGCACAACGAATCTACAAAACAACAGTGCAATACTACGGATTCATCGTTCCGAGAACTTAGTAGTAGTCTTCGGAGATGTCTTGTGCACGGTTGACTAGAATATAATTTTAGTAAATTTAGTATTGTTTTGCCTCGGATGGAGCTTTGGTGTTAGGGTATTATATTTTTACTCACCAAGATTACATACTATGGATTATTGACGATCTTGTTGCACGTCGTCGAATACAAACCCTCTGTTGAGTCTGCATCATACGCTACACGAGACGTATTAACGCACGTTAAAATGTTAAGTCCAAAGAAAACGCACATCAATTACAGACAAATATGCGAATTTGCGATAATAACATTAATAACAAGAATTTTTAGTGATTTTTTCACAACAAAAACAATATGGACGACCCCTATAAAAAAAAAGGATTATTGCACACGGAAACAGTGTGACCAAATAATATATATTGTAAGCAATTTGATAAATTATTGAACTTTATTTGATTTTTATCGTTCAATAATCTAAAAGCACATTTTTTAAAGCCCTACACAATAAAAAACAAATTTTAAATTTAATAGAAAACATCTATTTAACACTTTAACTAGTATATTGGTGTTTAAATTTGAACGGTCTTCATTCCAAGCGTCGACTAATCATCCCGCTTTGAGTTAATTATAATGATAACCTCAGCCTTAAAAGATAATCTGCGAAAAGTGTGACGATAACATCCAATCATAATGTGATAACGTTATGTTATTATTTTCAATTTTTATTGTTATTATTATAATTATTGATAAAAGATAAAAGATACAAGTGTCAAGTTTAGTATTTTAATTTTTCGCACGTGACTTTTCTAGAATTGACAATTGTATTTTTCTTAATTAAATTAAAATTTAAACGAAATGGGAAAGACAAAAAAAAAGAATATGAGAAGTGGAGTAGACAAGCCATATCCTAATTTGGCCGATCAGATTGTTAGTGATCGGGTAGTCTCAAAAAAGAAAGAACCAAAGATACGGTTACGCCAGGATGAAAGGGAAGAGGTATTATTGACTCGAGAAATATATACAGTATAGATGTATAAATGTATAAGTTTTAATTTATTATTGTATAATTTTATAACTTAGGTTATTGGTTCACAACTGTCCAAACGTATATTGGATCAAGTAAGAGAACAAAAGCAAGAAATAAATGAAAGCGGTAAGTTGAATGACAATATTTGAATTAACTATATGAGTTTAATGTAAACTTTAATAATTATGTGTTATTCTAATATCTTAGAGGGCACAAACAAAAATCTACTCACATCATTAGGCTCAGGATCTGATTCAGAGGAAGATGAAGAAGAAAAACCGATGTTTGGCGAAGGAGAAGACGAAGATTATTATGAACAACTGGTAAATATAATGAAAATAAAAGTAAAATTCTCATATATTGTATGTCTATTGTCTTTTTTTAAAGGAAATCAATGCAGATGATGAAAAAGCTCTAGAAATGTTTATGTCTAAAAAACCTGAAGCTCGATTAACTTTAGCTGATATGATCATGGAAAAAATTACTGAAAAACAAACTGAAATGCAAACTCAATTTACAGATGCTGAAAGTAGGTTTTCAACCTTTTTTTAAATACTCTTAATTGATTCTATAAATAAATAAAATACTACTAAATAGTAGCTGGTACCTATGATATTAGTTTCTGATTAAAAATAGCTATAATAATTAATATTTTGTATTATTAAATATAATTTGTAGGTGTCCAATTACAAGATGTAGATCCACGTGTAATACAGATGTATAAAGGTGTTAAACAAGTGCTAACCACATATCGAAGTGGAAAATTGCCTAAAGCATTCAAATTGATTCCAAAACTGCGAAATTGGGAGCAAATTTTGTACATAACTGGTTAGTTACGATTGAGTTAGTTAACATTAAGGCATTTATTAATTTTTTCTTTTTTTTTGATTTAGAGCCTTCTACATGGAGTGCTGCAGCAATGTATCAGGGTATTCGTATATTTGCATCTAATTTAAAAGAAAATATGGCTCAAAGATTCTACAATCTTGTTTTGTTACCTAGAGTTAGAGATGATATAGACGAGTATAAGAAATTAAACTTTCATCTTTATCAAGCATTGAAAAAAGCTTTGTTCAAACCTGGAGCTTTCATGAAAGGAATACTTATTCCCTTGTGTGAAGTATGTATTTTATGGTAACACTTTAAACTTGTCCTTTTATTAATAAATATATATTCTTTTCTTTTAGAGTGGTACTTGTACTTTACGAGAGGCGATTATTATTGGATCAGTTATAGGCAAAAATTCTATCCCAATGTTACATTCAGCAGCAGCTATATTGAAATTAGCCGAGATGGAATATAATGGAGCTACATCAATATTTCTTAGAATACTTTTTGATAAAAAATATGCTCTTCCATATAGGGTTGTAGATGCAGTTGTTTTCCATTTTCTTGGGTATGATAATGTGAAGAGTTTTTTAAATTTTTTATAATTAATATAATAACTATTTTGTGTATTAGATTTGAGCATGATGACAGAGAATTACCAGTTTTGTGGCATCAATCGTTTTTAACATTTGCTCAACGTTATAAGACAGATATAAGTTCTGAACAGAAAAAAGCATTGTTAAAGTTACTCAGAACAAAATCACATCATACTATTACACCAGACATTCGCCGTGAATTAGAAAGCTCCACATGTAGAGATATAGAAATGCCCGAGCCTATGTGATTAGCTTATATTGATATGATAAAAATGATTATTCTTGTACGTAATATATTATGTTGATTAATTAATCATTTTCTTTATATTAAACACTTGAACTGATCTGTAGAGTGTACACTAATTTTTACACAAAACTGAGTTATAAATAAAAATTATAATCAGGATAATTTTAAAGAAAATAAACTACTACATTTTCATGATTACAAAAGAAATTAGTTATTAACTATTACATTGGTATAAATCAAGATTCTATGATGTGTAATTCCCACTTTTATTCAAAATTTTAAAGTTTACTGAATAGTACATTAAAATTAAAATATATTATTATATTACCACTCTCATATGCAATTGTTTAGGTGCATGGCTATTATTGTTCTATGCTATTAGGTACCTCTATACCAGGGGTGGAGAACCTTTTTTGGATCAAGTGCCAAATTTTTCAAATCAAGGTTTTGAAAATTGTTCAAGTGCCCAAAGGAAATTATATTTTTATATTTTCTATAAGCATAAAATTAAAGTTACGGATTTATTAAATTATTTTCTGTCGTCCGTCGGTGTAAACGTGTTACTTATGTATGGCTGTTATCCTACATATCCTATTATAACCAAAATGTTATCTATATATTATATATAGCATAATTGTTTAAAATTTTAATTTTTCGTGTGCCATTGAAATTTGACCAACGTGTCATCTTGGGCACGTGTGCCTTAGGTTCGCCACCCCTGCTCTATACTATAGTCTATAAAGTAGTTGGGCCCCCTTGTAGAAATTCCACTAGTAAAAATAAAATGTTATTGCTATCATTAAATGAATATATTTTACAATATTTAGATTAAGCACATACAAATCTCAAGAAGAAAAATGATTCGTAGCATGGACAGACTGTGCCAGTCTATACTTTATTATATATTTATATTGATATAAGTAATTTACTTTTCTATAAATAATATGGCGTGTTTAACTAATTTTTAACAAAATAAAAATTGAAAGTTTATTAAAATATTACTAGCTGTTACTCATGAGTCAATACCCACATGATCAGTATTACAATTTACCACATAAGCAAATTTTTGTACAGCTTGTAATTCATTAAAATGTCGATAATAAATTGAAACAAACACAATTATTGTAAATTGTAATGCTGCTTGGTTCTTGATAAGTTGTTCATATAGCAATTCAAAAATATTGAAGACATAATTATAATTTTGTATTATAAGTTCAAATTTTGATGAAATGTGTCAAATTGTTAAAATGTTTAGGACTTTGTATTAGTGTATTAAAATTACAAACTGTATGAATTTTAAAATAGACAATATTTCTCGTGATTTTGATCAATTTTTCTGTATTCCTCACTTTGTAGTAAACCCAAGGGCCAAGACCTAGGGTAGTTATTTCATGATTTTAATACCTATGTACAGTGCTCGAATTGGGAAAAATTAAGTAGAGGAGCTCAATCCAGCGATTTAAAAACTGCGTTCCAAGGGTGCAATTACTCAACACAAACCCGTGATGGGCCTTGTCCCCCACGGGCGGTACTCTTTTCGCCCAAAAACGACCTTCCTCTTTTCGCCCACGTCCTCTTTTCGACCAAGTATGATAAAATAGTTTCCTCTTTTCGCCTAAAAATAATTGCATTCTTTTCGCCCACGGTTTCATGTTCGACATTTTGGAAAGCACTGTCTCAAAAATTAATTTAATAAAGCCATTTAGCATAACCCAGAGAGCACCACGAGGAGGCGGCTTCTATTCCTCTCCAAAAATGTATTTGTGTTTGTTTGTTAAAATAATTATTATATAATATAAAATAGGTATGTATTTGTCATTAGTTGTTATGACGTCGTCAAAAAAATGTTATGTCATGGATTAGGATTTAATTTAAATTTAATTTTTTTGTATAGTTGAATGATATTGATTTAAGAAATGCATACCGACTTATCTCTCCTCTATTGTACTGTTGTATTTTGTCTTCATTTTTTAGTTGACGATCTTTTACTTTCCTATCTATTCTATTTTATATTATATAATAATTATTTTAACAAACAAACACAAATACATTTTTGGAGAGTAATAGAAGCCGCCTCCTCGTTGTGCTCTCTGGGTTATGCTAAATGGCTTTATTAAATTAATTTTTGAGACAGTGCTTTCCAAAATGTCAAACATGAAACCGTGGGCGAAAAGAATGCAATTATTTTTAGGCGAAAAGAGGAAACTATTTTATCATACTTGGTCGAAAAGAGGACGTGGGCGAAAAGAGGAAGGTCATTTTTGGGCGAAAGGAGTTACGCCCGTCCCCCACACCCCCTCACACTCATGCCATACATACATTTTGAATACCACTGTCCACTTTTCAGCAACACATTTTGAATTCCAAATAGGTATAATATATTATTTTGATTGCAATATCTACATCTTACATTGTTACAATAGAAGAAAAATTAATAATTATATACCTGTTTATTCAATAGACAATAGGTATACTAAATAGATAACAAAATTAATAATTATTGTTATTGATTTAAAAGAGACTACGTATTTTGATAAGTATAAAAAATTCAAAAATTTAAAAACACCGATAAATGATAACCATAACTGAAACTGATAACATTTCATTCGGAACCCGATTTAAGATAGTACTAGCACACGGTAAACGGAAAAAAAGTCCGAGGAAAAAAAGTCCGAGAAAAAATTATTTAAATATAAATTAGTTATTAAATTAAAATAAAATTAGTTCCTAGAAAAATATTAAACAAAAATATTTTATTAAGCTTATTTTTTTTCAAATAATATGTTTTAATCGCTCTGTATGTCTACTATATGGAGACAGGTTTACACAATGATATTTCAGTTAGGGTCCAGGGGTATTTCCTTATAAAACTAACGAGTAACATTACTACAACTTATCTAGAATATACCTACCTAAGATATAATATTATATCACTAGTATAGTCAACTGTGTGTCCTAGGTCATAGCAGTGTTAACAGTAATAGTGTAGTACATAATTTTATAATAATCATCATAATGGATAGTGTAAAATTAATAAAAAATGGAAAAAAAAAATTGTTTGTGGTGGATTTACATATACAATCCAGCATAAACTAAAAAAAAGTATAAGATGGAAATGTTCCCAGAAGTCTTTGAAAAAATGTCCTGGTGTATTAATTACCAACAGAGGTAAATACATGTATATTTATAATATATTTACGTTTTGTCATTAATTTATATATGTAAAATATATATTTATATATGCAGATTTAAAGAATCCAAGCTTAGATGTAGAACATTCACATGCTGGTGATCTACACATCGGAATCGTCGAAAAAGCAAAAGAAGAAATGAAAAACCGATTTATAATGTCAACAAATACACCTTCTCAAGTTTTTGCGGAAGTAGTCAATAATTTGCCAAAAGAAGCTCTGAAATCCATGCCAAAAGAAAACACCGTAAAAATTTAAAATAATGATAAATAATAAAATATGTTTTTGTTAATTTTTCTCAAACAATGTAATTACATTTATACAGTTATTTCAATTTTTTAATATAATAATTTAATATATAAGTATTTTTAAAATTATGATGATAATTAATGCATAATTAATAATTATGTATACTAATTTAATAAATAATATTATTTTGTTGTAGAGCAAATTGTGACTATACTTTTAGTTTTAAGTTAATAGAACCAAACATTAAACCGTAAATCATCTTTGAAATAGAAGATTGGATTGGACTATTGAAATTTGAAGCAGTATAATTTATGTTCTGTTCAAAATGTGGCGATAGACACACACACAAATAAAATAACACACATTATCGTAAGACCTACATTCTTAGGTCCGTTTCGCTCAGAATCTAAAAGTTATAGTTGCTTTACCCGTCAATCGTCATTGGTCGTTATTAATTTCTTATAGCATCTGTAATATGTACTTTAATAATGAATTTTACCTACCTACACTCAATAATAGTGTTTATTTATATTAAAAAACATCGTAGAATAACCAATGCAACTGATGCGAAATACCTAATAATTATTAATACCTGTATAGTGTATATCGTGGTTCCCGCCTCAGTGATAGTCATAATCCATACAAAAATGGTGGGTATCTACCTATAAAATAGGAGTATAACTTCTTATTACTACGTCATGTCTACATACTTATGTGGCCGTGTTTATCTTTACACGAAATATTGGAGTCTTCGTTTGAACCCTAAAATGTATTCACGAGGGAAATCAAACCTATGAAATTCTAGGAAGATTTTCGATTTGTTAGTTATTAGGTAGGTACTTAATATTTTGTTTGACGTATAGGTATAGGTACACACTATACAGGCACGTAGCCAGGGGGGGGCCTGGGTGGGCCGGGCCCACCCTAAATATACTCTGGCCCAAGGCCGGCCCCCCCCCAAATTCAAAATATAATTATTTTTACCAATTATCAAAAATGTGATTATGCACATTGAGAGAAATCTATTGTGATTACTATTAGGTAATACAATTATTATTGTAATAATTTAATTTTTATATTCGGGGATCCGTGGATAACTTTATCTGAAAAAAATACAATATAATAGGGTCTTGATACCCTTTTTAAAAACAATAATATATTAGCCGCAGTTATAAGTCTATGCTAAGTTAGCTTGCGAAAGAACTTTTTCATGTCTGAGACGACTGAAAACCTTTCTGAGGAATCGCATGACAAATGATCGTTTAAATAATTTAGCTTCAATGAGCATAAAAAAAAAAATTCTAAAAACTTAGATCTAGATATTTTTGTACAATTGTTTTCGGAAAATCATAAAAACAGAAAAATTATTTTATATTGCACTGTTTAATATTTATATAAGTATAAGTGTATTATTAATATTTTCTACTAGTATGTGTTTTTTTTTTTTTTTTTAATAAATTTGAGTTTCTTTAAAAATTATATTAATTTAAAAATCGATGATCATTTATCTCTATTATTTTTGATAAGTATTCAAATATGAATTAATTTTTGAAGTTAAACA